TACTTAATTCCTCAGCAACACTCGGAGAACACGTGCGTATTTACGAACCGACTTTTGTATTGTGTGTCAGGTGTTGTGCATATTAAAAGAAGCTGTACAATCAGGTCAGATAAAGTGGATAGAAAAGTAAGACACTACAACCTAACTACAAGAATACCCCTCGTAAAAATCTACTGACACTGTTTTGGGAAGTGGAGAATCCTCAGAAAACAACAAGGTCTAAGAGCGTTATGAGTGAGATACTCAAGTCACCATGAGAAACGTGAATTGATTTAAATTGAATTTGTTTAGGCGCACTGCGGCGCAACATTACTTGCGCTACCCTCACTTGGCGGGAACATCGGCGAGCATGGTTGGCGTCCTGTTCTTTACTAATACAAACTTCCACAGGGTCTAGTAAAGCTTGTGAAGAACAAATCATACTTCAAGCGTTATCAGGTTAAATTCCGCAGGAGGCGAGGTGAGTATCCGTTTTCAGTGATTGAATATGAACCCAGAGGGCAAAACCGATTACTTCGCTCGGAAGCGCCTCATTTGGCAAGATAAAAATAAGTACAACACTCCAAAGTATCGACTTGTTGTGCGTTTTACAAACAAGGATATTATATGTCAGGTAAATTTAATCACCTTCGTTTATGCCACAGATAATTTATGCTCGCATTAATGGGGACCGGGTGATGTGCACAGCGTATGCTCATGAGCTGCCGCGGTACGGTGTCAAGGTTGGCTTGACCAACTATGCTGCTGCCTATTGTACTGGCCTGTTGGTCGCTAGACGTCTACTGAGGCAGCTAAAGCTGGATGGATTGTACGCCGGCACAGAAACTGTTGATGGTAGTGAGTACCATGTGGAGTCTATCGAGGGCGAAAAGGGAGCTTTCCGCTGCTACCTCGATGTTGGTCTCGCAAGGACCACCTCCGGGGCCAATATATTCGGTGCTTTGAAGGTGAGATAATTGGTAGTTTCTTAGTCCCCTCCTCTAGGGTGCCGTGGATGGTGGGTTGTCTATCCCTCATGGAACCAATCGTTTTCCTGGTTACGATGCGGAAGCCAAAGAATACAAACCCGAGGGACATCGGGCGCGTATCATGGGTCAACATGTTGCGGAATACATGCGACATCTGCAGACTGAGGATGAAGAAGCATACAAGCGACAATTCTCTGCTTACATCAAAGCTGGTGTTACCGCTGATAACATTGAGAGCATGTATACCAAAGCTCATGAAGCCATCCGAGCAGATCCGTCTCCACAACCGCACAAGGAAAAGGATGTGAAGCACAAGTCCTTCAAACGTCAGAAAATGTCTCTAAAGCAACGCAAAGAACGTGTGCGTTCAAAGAAGGCTCACTATTTGGCTCAATTGAAGAACGAGCTTACCGCCGCAGAGTGAATTTGGTAATAAAGCATTTGGAAATTCTGAATCGACCTTATTCTGACAATTGAGTTTTTTCGCAGTTGTAGCCTTCAGGAATTCGCTTGGGTTTCGTCTAATTTGGTCCTGGGCTCAGCTATGTGGATTACTTATCGTGCTTTGTGGTAGCTCAGCAACGTAATCTAGTCAAGTTCATTCATTACGGCGCACCTGAAATTGTAGGGTGACAGAAAATGGGTCCCGACCCCTTCACTATTCCGATTCCATTGTTCTCGAAAAATGAATTTGCGTGTTTGTTGATCGGTTATCTCATATACTGTTTTACCTGTTCCGTTTCGAATTTCGTTATATCAGGTCACGTTGTGAATTGTTTGCATAATTTAAGTTACGGATTAGGATACATGTCCAACCTGTCCTTCACGGAGTGGAGGTAGAAGCGTTGAGCAAGTCGGCAATGACGTTCATATAACTGTATTCATTGATTGTTTGGTGCCTCAGCAGATGCATTACACCTCCCGGAACTCTAGGTTAACTATCCGGTGTCAGGATCCACTTGGGCGCTTACGTTCGTTGCTTACGAATAAGCCCTGATGGAGAAAACAAGTCCTGACCTGCCAGGATCAGAATTGACTTAGTTGGAATCTACAACGTCAGCTCACGAAGAGCCTCAAGAAGGATCGTAAGAACTGATGGGCAACAAAAGCTAGTGAAATGGGAGTAGCAGCTGCATCAGGGAATAGTCAGACTGTTCCGAATGATACACAATACGAGAGGTCGGCGAACTGCATTTAGTGAAATTGTGATAAGATGGGCAAGCCAATCTCAACAAGAGTAACCAACTTGATAGCTGGGCAGAATATTTCAGCGAACAGTTTTGCTGGCCTGGCGCTAACCAGGTTGCCTTAACCGCAACTGAAGCTCCGTGGGCAGTGTCGTGCGATCCTCCAACGGAAACAGAAGTTCCGTCTTGCATTCAAGCTCTGAGGCAAGGAAAGGGAACAGAATCAAATCAGCTCCCACTCTTTCCAAGATGGGAGGTGATAACCTCGTAAGCTGTATTACTACCTTACTGCGCAACATTTGGACGCAAGTGCGCATTCCTTCATCTTGGAGCGAATCACTAATCGCTCCCACTTTGAAGAAAGGATCTTGCAACGACTGCGAAATCCACCGCGGGATCAGTTCAATCCAGATCGTCACCAAAGTGCTAGTCTCGGTCATACTTGGGCGTCTGACTCCGTGAACAGCGAGCCGGATTCCGGCCTGGCCGTGGATGTATTGATCAAATTTTTACGTTGCGTTAGGTCCTTGGGCTGCGTCACACCCACCGTCGACCAACGATCGCGGTGTTCCTTGACCCGAAAAGAGCCTTGGATTCAATTGATCGCGAATTTCTGATGGGTTCCCTTCGAAAAGGAATGCCTCGGAAGTACGTTAACTCACTGAGGTCACTGTACTCACATACCTCTGGTCATGTAGAGGTCTTCGGTGAACTAAGTAAACCATTCGTCGCCAGCAGCGGCGTTCGTCAAAGGTGCTATATCTCACCGTTCCTTTTCAACTTTGTCGTAGACGAAATACTGGAGAACGCACTAAGTGGTCTCCAAAACGTAGGTATTGGGTGGACAGGTGGAGAAAAGTTATGCGATTGGCTGCCCATTCGAGCGAACAATATGAAGAAAACAAGGAGGTTGAAAGTAGGATCGAAGAGAAAATTGAGAAGTTCAATGGACTAATGATGCAGAGAAATTGAGAACATGCACAAACGCTACTGTCTAAGACACCCAGCCGTATCACACAGTGTGTCTAACCATCGGTTACGATCATCCCTAGGTCTCCAGCCAGAGAGCCTAACGGAACCTGTGACCCAGACTCCTGGTTAGGGTTTTCATATCCTCATGGCAGGTCTCAGGTTGACCCATTTGGAGAACTATTTGGTTTCGCCGACTCCCGCTCTGAAACTAGATGGTCAAGAATTAGTTACGATGGATTGCTTCTCCCACTTCGGTAGCTGTGTGACCGATGATAGTAGCGCAACAAAGGGGATAACCGCCCGCATTTTCATGGCTCAAGCAGCATATTCAGGACTGAAACACCTTTGGCGTAGACGCGACGTTTCACTGAAGTTGAAAGGTCGTGTATATTGTGCTAGCGTTCGTTCAGTTCCGCTTTTTGGTTGAGATCTTGAATTTACGAGCAGAACATATCAGTCGACTAGAGGTTTTTGGATTATCGGTGTTTGCGCAGTTAGCCCACGTGGGATGGCTCGGGCGAGTTGGTAACGTGGAGGTGGGCCTTCTTGTGTTTGGGAGTCTATCAGGGATAAACCTGCTATCACACCGAATTTAGATTAGTGGACTTCGCTGGCTAGGACACGTATTGCGTATGCCCAGTGATCGTCTGCCACACCGCGTTGTATTCGCTGTAGCTAATCTGGGTTGGAGGTCAACAGATGACGTGGAGACGAGGCATGAAGAAATGCACGAGGCCATTAGGTAGAGTAGGTGTCTCTCACCTTCCAGGTTGGGGTCCGAAAGACTCCACAACCGGTCGGTTGGAGACATCGAAGGACTTGGCAGCGAACCGACAGCAGTGGTGTTCTTGTTGTCATTTCTCATCAGACCGGAACGCTTTAAACGGTATGTATGCAGAGTTCGATTGTGCACTCTGTTCATTTTCTCCCTCCCTCAAAGTAAGTTCAATCCCTTTCCACCTTAAATTTTACCACTAATCTTGTATGCATTGCGAGGTTGACAGCGATCAGTGAAGTTCGCCCCACTGTATTTTGCTGTACGATGATGATGATGAATGAGCTCGACTGAATTCGTCGTGCGCACTACCGGTCGAATCATTTTGGCGAACTGGGCAACTAGTTTGCGTAACAACAGTCTTCAGCCAAACCGCAACGGACCACACATTAACCCCAACAAATATCTAGATTGAATTTAATGATGGGGTCAAATGATTGAGCGACGAACGAGAGAGAGAAAACGGACAGCCGGAAACGAGACTTCAATCTTCTAACAACGTAGGTACATCTGCTACAATAGGAAGATAGACAATCTACACTATCAGTAAACGGTGATGCAGTGGTATAAAGATCAAAGGTTTAACAAAATCATCACATTCTTCCGGGCTGAGTGAAGTGTCTGTGAATCAGTTCGTTTTTGAAGCCTCCCTACTTCGAAGGTTGTATGGGTGGACACGCTGCTGGTCTCTTATGAGCTGTTGTATGTGATCCGTAGTATCAGGTTGTAATTCCGATTCTGGAACTTCATTTTCCAGTTGAACCACCGAAGGTGTGTATTGTTCTTCCGTGAGGTGCACATGCTGCTTTGTGGTTTCCTTGGCGTTTACCGATGTAGAGGCTTTCGGAGCAAGCAACCCCTAAGATACAGTTTCCTCTTTTCCATTCGGTAGACGCACATTCGAATGTGGTGGGCTGCAGTTTAAGAGTTCCACTCCTTCCGTTAGGTGATCACATTTTGAATGTCGATTCATTCTTTTGAGAAGAACTGGTCCCGGGGTCGACAGCCATGTCGAGGGAGATGTAACATTGGTAGCCTTACGGTTGAATGTTAAAAATCTCTCGAGGCGTTTCATTGGTGGCAGTGCACAACAGTAAACGGACCGAATGTGAAGCGCCCAGTAGAACATGTTCCCATTCCTTTATATCCATGTGTTGAGATTTAAGTGCCAAAGTAACGGCTCTCCACAACGCTCTATTTAATCTTTTGATCTGTCCGTTACCCCTTGGATTGTATGAAGTTGTCCGACTGGTTGCCACTCCCTTATTGTGGAGAAAACTTAGCAGCTCTTCCAACATAAAAACAGTGTCACTATCAGAACTAACATAAGACGGCACTCCAAATATGGAGAATAATTGACTAAAACAGTTATTAACAGTTGAGAATGGCATATTAGCGCAAGCAGAAGCGAAAGGAAAACGAGAGTATTCGTCTATCATGATCTTTAGAATTAATGCTGATTCCTTCGAACGGTCTGGTCGCTTTTATCATGTTTGCAAAAGTGCCTTTGAAAACGCGTAGCTTAAGTTGTGCACATGCTTCACACCCATTTACAATTTCTTACCATCGTCTATGGAGAAGGGTAAGTTCTTAGAACGAATGAACTGCAACGAGCGTGTGATACCAGGGTGAAAGTGTTGTGTAAATGTTTCACGTCCGTGTGTGACATGGCTGAAATACATCGATTTGGGGAGAATGTGTCGGCAGCTTAATTTCGCCCCCCGTGACCAATACTGGACGTCGTATAGAGAGCATGATAGCTCTAATTCCCATCGCTGCATTTTATCGTTTTTCACTTTACTTTTGTGCTGCTTGTCGTAAATAAAGGCAACTGAACGCTGATCCGTGATTAGAGTAAAGTGGTTGCCGAGTCGATGTTCCCACTTCCTTAGAGCTTCTACGATAGCATACGCTTCCTTTTCGATAGCTGAGTGGTGGCGCTCACTAGGCAACAAGGTGTGAGAAGAAAGCCACCGGACGTTCGTCGTGATTGAGTGTTGCCGCTATTGCGATGTCGGATGCGTCGGTTCCAACGATTAGTGGGCAGTTGTAATCAACGGTAAAAATAGCGGCCTTTTCTGGCTCTTTCTTCAACTCTCCGAAAGAGGATTTTATGCTGTCCGGGATGGGAAAGTTGTGTTTATGCACTAGGGGGTGAATTTCGTCGGCGAAGTGTGGGATCCAATGGGCATAGTACGCCAGCCTTCCCACAACTCGTCTTCGCGAAGCGATGTCCTTCGGGGGAGGCAGTTCCCTCAAGGCTGGGAATCGTTCGGGGTCTGCATTGATTAACCCCTTGGAAACTTCGTACTCAAGAAGAAGAATTTTGTTAGCGCCAATTACACTCTTGTGCTCATTGAACGTTATACCGTGTTTCTTAGCGGCAGCTGTGCTGTCGTCCGGTTCAATACCACACCTAACCTATCGGGGCCTTGTGTGGTTCGCCACTCCTAGTCCCGAGGCTTAGGTTACCGGTCTCCATCACTGAAC